CAGGAATTAATTAGAAGGTAATAGTTAAGTTAATACTATCATTGTTCCACCACAAATACTTATAAATATCTTTTGTAGCTTAATTTTGAGAATCTGGTAGCCCCTTTTCTGCTAGCTGCAATATCATTTACGAGATGTATAATGCTGCTGATTGTTGTTAATGCTGTTGATATACCAGTGCTGTAAAAAATCAAACCAAGTTCTTTACTCAGTTACACATCTCCAATATAGAATCACTTAATTGAAATCTTAATATTAGTTTTTCTGGAAAATGGAACACAATTGCATATAACGAGCGTTCAAATAAAAACGTGGTCGAAGTTGGCTCTGACACATTGGACGTAGGGAGTAGCTTATAGCGACCAACTTAACCTCATTTCTCAACGAGCTGTATAGCAGCTGTCAGTTTCAATAACGTTAATGACTATATAACTTTATTTTAAAGAATAATCGTGATAACAATAACAAACAATTAAAGGAGCTGCGGAAAGTGTCCCCCTCCTTGTTATAACAATAAATTAAAGCAGCTGCTGAAAGTGTCCCCCTCCTTGTTCCAAGCACTTTTCACACCTGTTCCTCAAAGAATTAAAGACATTTTCTAAGATGCTCGGGGTATTGTTAATTTCACGAATCTTGTCTATAAGTCGAGCCTGCAGATGGTTTAAATCAGGAATAGGCAGTTCAAAAATAGTGTTTTTAAGGTAAGGCCACAAAAAGAAATCACACGGCGTAATATCACATGACCTCGGTGGAAATTCATGTTCAGCATTGAGACTTATTAGTCGATTTTGGAAAACTTCCCTCAACATATTCATCGTCTCGCCTGCCGTATGTGCCCTTGCGCCATCTTGTTGAAAGTAAAAGTTTGTAATTTCGTTTTCTTCCAGCTGGTTAACAAAAGGAGCGATAATTTCTTCTCTATACCTTTGCGCAGTAAGAGTACCATTAAAAAAAATAGGTCCATAAATCCTCCTTCGATTGAGAGCACACCAAACTCCAATTTTTTGAGCGTGTAGAGGGCCCTCGACAAAAAAGTTATCTGGTTTTTCAGAAGACCACATTCTCATATTCTGTGAGTTTACGTAACCACTTAAATGAAACCAGGCTTCATCAGAAAAAAAGGTGATATTATGAAGTTCACCGTAGTTGTTTAAAAACCATTCACAAAATACAGCCCGTCGCGGAAAATCAACTTCATGAAGTTCTTGCTGACAAGTTAAACGATAGGAGAACAAACGCAAATCTTTTTTTAACACTGTGTGGCAGGTACCGACTGATACTCCCACCATTTGTGATAAAACACGTACAGAAGTTCTTGGCGCATTTTCCATTATTTGTTGGACATTTTCTTTTAATTCTTCAGTCCGCTTTTTAGGTCGGCCGCTTCCTTCTTTTCTTGTTACACTGCCCGTTTCACGAAAAACATTAACACAACGCTGAACTGCACTTTGAAAAATTTTGTACTCAACAACGCCGGGAAATTGATTTTGAAATTCTATGAAACATTCCTCAATAGAATACTTCCATATTCCATCAATCTTGCGTCCATTTCTAAAGTAGGACTCTATGATAAACACTTTTTGTTCTTGAGAAAACACCATTTTAAACGCTTTTTAAAACGAAAATATTCAAATTGATAGCGGCGATATAGCGCTTTGACAGATGACGTTTAAGTTCATTTGCTATACGCTACGCCCTACGTCCAAATTGTCAGAACCAACTGGACCACGTTTTTATTTGAACGCTCGTTATTTATGTTAAGACAATCGAAGTCCTCCTGTAACTGTAAACAGCCACTAAAGCCACTAATGGGTATAAATAATCTGAGTAGAACACCAGTTCCAAGTTGATGTCATTCACTAAGATTATGAACAATAGAGGGCCAAGCACCGATCCCTGTGGTACCCCAGTCGTTGCTGTAATCGTCAATATTTAAGATTTGACTGTCAGTCGAAAACCAAATCGCTGTAGAAGGTCATAATTTTAAAACATAGTTACATTTAATTCAAAGAGTTAACATTAGCCATTAAGGTAACAAATTGTGAGGGAAACAAAATTTTGAAAATTTCTTAAGTATCTCATGAAAGTTTTAATATAATCATCAATCACCCAGTATATCTTAACTTTTAGTTGCACAACTCTTTGGTAACCCAATACTAAGCGATGTAAAAGAGTATTATTTGTGCTAAACGAAGAACTCGACACCGTATCCTTATCGTTTTAAATTTCGTTGATGATGTGATACGCGACAGAATAAAATAACTGGCGTAACAAAATATGCGGGAATTTAAGAATGTTTGAACAGAATGCCTCACGTCGCAGTAAGCATAAAAAAGCATTTTAGATAAAAGGAGGACATACATATATACCGTTAAATATAACAACTTCGTATTGAAATAATATATTGTTATGAGGAAATTGAAACAGTTGTAGAGTTGTAAAATATACATGGAGGTCAGAATATTTGATGGAGTGTTTGATTTTTTTAGGTCTACAGAATACCTTGTTTCTTTATTTGCATATAGATATAATTTCCAAGAGATAAACAGAAATCTCATGTTCACAAGATCATGTTAACTTTATTGGAACATTAAATAAGTTGTAGTTCAGTAGGCACCTACTTTGTCAGAGTGTAATGTGATATTTTAAAACGAAATTATTTGCTTTATCAACCAGTAATGCAACCGATATGTACTGTTAAGCTAAGTAAAACAAACAATGGATTGTTTCTTTTGGTTAAATACCTTGAAACCACAACTAATTTATAAAGTCAGCAGCAGGTACTTGCTTTTTTACAATGAAATATCTTTGAGATGTTTGATTTGTTTTGTTGCTATTAAAAGTAAATATTGGTAATTTCTAATTATGTTAAATATTGTTCATAGAAAAAAATACACGATATCTAAGAATTGACAAGTTTTTACAGTCGGTTTTTTGTATGAATGTTACATAGAAGTATTTATACCTGCTAACGAGTTTTCGGAACACCCTGTATCTAAGAATTTAGAACAGCCGCCAAAACAAAGATTTATAGACCCAATCTTTGAGTATAGATATACCAACAGATGTGGCTTTTATTATACCCACTATAAATGCAGTCTGCATATTTTTCTGGGTAGCATTGACCATAACGGTATAGCCAACAAAAGAAATAAGGTTGTGTACATATTCCTTCATACTTTTAAAATGGAAAACGGCAACCTCATAAATACAGAGGGAGGAGGAAGCATACAATATATAAAATCATGTTTATTTAACAAGAAACGCGTTAGTTCCAATGTGATTTCCATAAAACATTGAACTTGAAATGTAGATTTCACCAGTATATTCCAATCTTCAGGGATATTTTCTGATATTTACATGTTCTCCGTGATCTTTCAATGGGAAAAATTAAAGGAAGTTGATCTAGTTTAGCGTTACGCTTGGTTACTTCTTGGATGGACATACTTCTTCTATAATTATTGTCTTACTAAAAGTGCGATTTCTTGTCTATGAAACGCCAGCATTAATGGATTAATATATGAAGCTAAGTATCTTCAGCTTCTGTTGTCAATATTATTCTATCATTTTCAAAAAGATCTGACGAACATTTCAAATAATAATTTGAACTGAACATTTTTTGTTTATATTTGAATGTTTAATCTTAAGTTAGTTTAACAAATTGGTTGCTAATGAAAAACATGGATATATGCATCTGCATTGCATTTTCTGCAATCTTTAATTCTCACGATACCTGCTAATTTGGTTGTTCCTAAACTAAATTTGATTATTAAAATGCATACAACTCCTAATTATACCCAAATCACTGACAAACGTCAATCTGCTTTGCATAATAATGTAAATAATAAAGATGTTTAAAAATGACCATGTTTTGAACTGGTAGTTGACACCAGCCAAAAGGAATTCAGCAAATGGTCTCGGAAATAGTATGATACCTGGAGAAACGATAAACTGATGACTTGCCAGTATACTTAGTGTATGACGACATGATTAGGGTATTTTGAAGAAATATACGTATTTATAATAATAATTAGGTATGCGTGATTTATAATTTGATCATACAATCTTATTATTTGATTTAAGGAGTAAATATGAAAACTATATTTATGATTACATTATAGACTACCTTGTACTGTGTGACAATAACATTAAGGATTTTTTTACGACGATCCTGTATGGATATTGGCGTATAGGGGTATATAAAGACATCTAGAAACATATTTTTTTTTAATTGCTATACGCCTATAGTTGCCAGAAAATAATTTTCTTTTTAGTCACCTTCAATTATATCCCGTTTAATAAAACTTTGAAAACTAAAAACTGCATCTTATTATAATTCTTTCTCCTCTTTCTCCTAGTTATAGTAATAAAAATTATTCACAAGTTTGTGTAACAAAATATTCAGAAATTTGAAACATTGGTGAATTTATGAAATACCCTTATTCAGCCGAATCTTGAACACTGCAGTGAGTACCTAATAAAAATATGAATTATATGACTTAATACCTACGTCCGCAATTATGTGGGAATTATTATTTATTGTTTATACAGGGTATTAGGGAAAAAAACCTACAAAAACTAGGGGGTGAATATTGTATTGAGTGTTGTATTATTTTTTACTCATTAAAAACTGGATTATCACGAATTAGTTGATATACACTTACTTATGTAGAAAAAGGAACATTTCCTTAACGTGTGTCTTGGATTTTCACGACTGCAAGTGTATGCAAATATACAGACCGTGATAAGGTTTTAAATTCGAAAACGAAAAAGATTATGAAAACGTAGGTACTAGACTACATCCTAATTGGTTAAAATTACACCATTAAACTTTCTCCTCTATGAGCTAACGACTTTGGTAATGGTTAATGAATTAACAACTAGATATAAGTAGAATATAGATAAACACACTTATTAGTTACTATTAAAAAATTAAATAATAAAAATGCTCTGCAACGAGTATCGGCAATGTTCTTAAGACATTTTAACAATGCGCTTACCTTCTGTGACAGAAGTCCCAAAAATCCAATGAGGGGCGGTAAAACAGTCTCGCTGATTAAACCACGCGTAAAACAAATTAATCAGGCTATTAGTCACATTGGTATTAACACTGAAATTATAGTTTCGTCACATAGCACAAGCGTTCGCACATTTAAATTTGTTAAATCTGCACTCCCGCCGTTAAAATCAAAACAAGGGAACAGCGGCAATGTAAGTTGGTGGGGGTAACTATGTGGGGAATGCGAGAGATCTCATTGGTTGGCGCGGCGCAATACTTGTTTGATATCGCATTGTTGATTAATTCACCCTTAGCGGTTGCATAAAAGAAATATGACCCCTTTCTATTTTTTACCTGGGGATATGAAACTCACCCTATAGTTTTGCTGTATGACCATGTACTTTTCTTTCTGTTGATTTGAATAGTAGGTATGTCGCTCTATACCTACATAAAAATGAAGAGATTTAATCCCTAGATTTGGATCCCTTAGATGGATACATAATTATCCAGAGAGCTACATAAAACCTTATTTGTTAGTGTACCTCCAACAAATTTGTTATTTTTTATAAATTACGAATTGAAGTCATTTCCTTGTAATACTTCAATTGATTTAGTTTATAAAGTGTATGCAACCAGGTTTACAGCCTAGTATACAAAATACAATAGCATTGAACATAAAACATACAAATCAGTTTAGATTTTTAGATACTTTTGAAAACAGAAACCTACATTTTCCATTGTCACTAACTTTTAGCAATAAAATTTAATTAATCTAAGAACTTTTTAGAGTAGTATAAAATCAACAAAGCTGGTGGAGAATAAAATAGTAGATTTGATTAATTTATCTATGATTTTTCCGTAAAATTGGGTTTCTATGGTTTATTTTTTCTATAAAGTGGTCTCAGAATTTTACTATCGTATTAATATACTTAAAATAATTTTACTTAATTTATCTCACATCTGAGGGGATCACGACTTATTTAAAAGATTTATTTAAGAAATATAGAACTAATAGTTATAAATTTGACTAACGGAAGCGGGCTATTTCTGTCATCTGTCATGGTTGTTGGCGGCCATTTCTTTTCCGGTTCGTAAAAATGCAGGGACAACCTCAAAAGGTAATTTTAATAGTTTTTATGTGTATTTAGTGATATTTTTAAATCCACAGTTGTATTTTTAATATGTTTGTGTTTTAATTTCCAGACGAAAAAGGAGCCCATCCATTCTGTCCAAGTTTTTGGCAGAAAAGTAAGTAGTTTTTTTTGTTTCTCATATAACCTATACAACAGCAAAAAGACACGTGTTATTGTTGGTATTACAAGGTTTTAAACTATTTTTATAATAAAAGTTTATGCGTATACAAGTAAATATTAGTATTTACTAGAGGTATATTAATAGCACTAATTTTCAGAAATCCGCCACAGCTGTTGCCTATTGCAAAAGAGGCAGAGGTGTACTTCGAGTAAATGGAAGGCCTTTAAGCCAGGTGGAGCCAAAAATGCTCCAAGACAAACTTCAGGAACCCATACTACTTCTAGGCAAGGTAATTTAAAGTTACAATGCTAATACATACTATTTATGCATTTATATTTTATGTTTCTAAATATTCATGATGATTTCATTATCCCGAAGATGAGTCTAGACTTTGAAATGTACTTAGTTTTACTGAAACTTCAATGACGAATGTATTGGTAATATTTTTTATCAAAAAATACTCACTTATTGTTTATTTGTAGGACAAATTCTCGGCGGTGGACATCAGAGTGCGGGTTAACGGCGGTGGTCATGTTTCACAAATCTATGCCATCAGACAGGCTATTTCTAAGGCTTTGGTGGCGTACTATCAAAAATGTGAGTAGTTTTCAAAAATTCTTTAAATCGTATTTTTTGTAGTGCAGTATTATTAGTTTTTGATATTTATGTGGACCAGATGAAAATGTTATATTTTTTCCTTATATTATATTGGTGACTTTAACGTTTAATTTTAAAAACAGTACATTCTCGGCAAAATAAGAAAAATGCAGGGTAATACCTTTCGTTTTAGATTTCAAAATCGTAACATATTTTTCGAAGTTTTCGATAATGATCTGAATTGTAGGCCATTTTTTAACTTAAAAGTGTATACGATATTTTTCTTTCGATATCAGAATACATTGCTTAGGACGTGATAATTTGCTAAACATTAGCACCATTAAGCCAGCAGAATAATGTCTAAAATTTATCAACTGTATGGAAAAATGGTGCAAAATTATTTGCAATTATAACTACCACTTTCACAATTTAGGTGACTGTGGCTTTAAGATTGCAGACAGTTATATGTAAAACCGCTCTCGATTATAATTTTTTTTATTCTGAAATTATAAACAAAAATTGTTAATGAATCAAATAGTGAAAAGAATCCTTGGAGCTATTACGTTTTTGTATTTTTTTATAATGTCCAACAACTTTTTTCTGCTTGTGAAGATTTTTTTGTTATGTGAAGAATTTTCTTTTAAAATTAAAAATAAAAATATTTTCCCTCATCTAACTGTCAACATACCTACTATAGATTTTTTTTAACCAAAACATTTTGATGTAACATCCAATATAAAGAATCTTGTTTATGTCGTAACATATTTTAATAACTGGAATTTCATCTCTAGACCAAACTACGAATTCTGAACCCTACTTTTCCTCTTAAAAAGGTACTCAAGATTTCCTTAGATTTCCCCTAAGTATTCCCCAAGAATTCCTCGTACTCTCTTTGAATGCCATAGAATTCCCGCAGAATTATCTTGCACTTCCTTTAGATTTCCTACTCCTGAATATCCAGTTTATTCCTTGACCCTTTCAGTCCAAACAGAATGACTTAATTGTAAGAAATTAATTCAGTTTTTAAATAATTCTGTTATCTATTTTCTTGAGACTTATTCCGTTTTGCAGACGTTGACGAGGCATCAAAGAAGGAACTAAAAGATATTTTAATCCAGTACGATCGTACTTTGTTGGTAGCCGATCCTCGTCGCTGCGAACCTAAGAAGTTCGGCGGTCCAGGTGCCCGTGCTCGCTACCAGAAATCATACCGTTAATTTAGGTTTAGTTGTGTGTTATTGTATTTATACAGGTATTTACAATAAACACATTTATTTCTAACTTGTTTGTTCTTCCAATAATGGTTCCTTGTCCCAATCCCAATGAAAAAAGTTATTTGATTACACTTTGAGGTACTTGAAATATTCTTGTGCTTGCCTGCATCATTAAGCCAGCAGTATAATGTCTAAAATTTATAACTGTATGGAAAAATGGTGCAAAATAATATGCGATTATAACTACCACTTTCGTTTTTACTATATGGATGTGGCTTTCAAATTGCAAACAGTTTTCAATGGTACAAAATAAAAAATCTTATGGTTTTATACAATACAGTGGATTTTTATTTCTTGCTTCCCACATTAGTTGTCCCTTTTTCCCATCATTTAATTTTACAATTCATTTCCTCCTGTCTAAATTGATTGATAATCTAAATGTTTATTTAAACTGATATTGCACTGGGAGTTTAAAAAAATAAATTTGTCATTAAAAAACTTGCAGGAAAATTATTTTCCTGATACAAATGAAAAATACTGAACACTTAACTTTAAAATTCCTGCAATTGTCTGACCAAAAATAAGAAAAAAAAAGTAAATGCAGACAAATCATTGATTTTTAAAATACAGTATGTTTTTTTACTTATGATAGTGATGTTATTTAGTTATTCTCATTTATTTTATAGTCCTTTTAAATTTGGAACATTTTAACTTTGAACCAATAAAATGGATGATTTATTGTTTGAAATAATTCAAGAAAAATACTTTTTTAAAACATATTTCCAAATTTTTTAAGGAAAGTGGCTAGTTTTAACTCATAACTTTTAAGTCTCAAGTGGTTTTCGTTTTCAATGGTATTGGTATTTTTAAAATAAAAAAAAAATATTTTTTTTTATATTTTTACTCTTATAAAGACTAAGTTAAATGGAATAAATTCAATTTTTTTTTTGAAAAAGAAAGTAATGAAGGTTAATAACTAAAAATTATGGAAAATAAAAAATGGGGTCTAAATATTGTTGCAGTCACAGCAATATCTTGTATTTTTGTTCTAACATCTCCCTCTACAAAGATCAGTACATAAAAATAACCATGATAGAAAGATCCTATTTTTTCTGCATTTTACTTAGCATTCCTTTTTCATGTGCTCTGTTTGTGAATGAAATTAACAGAACATTGTATAGGGTGTTTGGAAAAGTTGGTGGTTTCTATAAATATTGGTCCTTCGGAACACCATTACTGAGTTAAGGCACTCCAAAGGAGTCTTATCATTTGGATATATTTTAAAATAACTTTCTATTTAAATATAAAGATAATTTTTTTTATTCCTTTGAATTATGAAACGAATATTATTTTTTAATGAATTAGACTTTTTTGAAGAAAAAATACCGCCACTTTTTTTCGAATTATGCGTAATTTAGTCAGAAATAATTATTTATTTATTTTTGTCACTTTCGCGTGCTATCATTTAAATTCTTTATCCTTATTTATAATCGATTTTGATGAAACTTGATAGTTAAAGACCCTTATGGTATGATTATTAGGTACCTACAATTTTCATTCCTTTATCTTAATCAGAAAGAAAGTTAATTTAAAAAATATCCAAAAGACTCCTTTGGAGGGCCATATCTCAGTAACGGTGCTCCGAAGGACCAATTTTTGGCTCTACTTTCACCTTAAATTTTGTACCAACTTTTCCAAACACCCTGTATATAAAAAACAAAACTTAAAAGAAAATTACATTTTCAAACCATATATCAAAAGTTCTACTATTTCCCGCCGGTTCAGATAAATTAAAGAAGGTCTGTCATAATCACATATTTTATTATTTAAAATAATTGTAACAAACATATGAAACAAACCATTTTTAGGAACGTAGATATGACTAGAAATGTTTATAGGAGACTTACTGAACTAAAATAATTCAATGGAAAATAGTTTAAAGCAGGTACAAATATTGTACAATAGTTTTCTGCAAACTAAATACATTAAAAATACTACAACCTACAGTTTTCCTCATGTGGGTTTTCTGTAGAAACGGGTATATGAAGGAAACTGTTCCTATAAAAATGTACAAAGCTACACTTGAAATTATCAAAGTAGACATGACATATCTTAATGGCTTAGATTAGATGCGAAAACATCGCTGTCTGGGAAACTATCAGGTATACAGAAAAATAAATACACCCTGAAGAGAAGTAGAAAACACCTTTGCCGATCTCTAGTGATTTCTCGGGTAGCAATGCTATGTCGTTGAATTTAAAACCCTGTATATTTAAAATGTTTTTTTCGTGTTTTATTTTTACTATTTTTTTTAATTGTTTTTCAATACACGCGTCTGTAAAATCAGTAAAACCAAACGTCAATACTTACTTTCTATAAAATTACCAAGATTATCCAGTATACAAGGTATATTTATGTAATGCAGAAGCACAAATGGTACCGTAATAATCTTGAACCAAAGTATGACAGTTGGGGGCTAAATATACCTTAGTCCATAGTGGTTACATTTAAGGGTGTTTATGTTAAAAAAAAAACATTACAACTACTCTAATACCTCACAAAATGGTTGATGCAGATTAATGAAACTTAAGTAAGTAAAGAGGTAAAGATTCATGGAATTTGCATGTAATTATATCAAACAATGACAGTTGACAGTTGTATGATCACTAAACTCTGAGGAATTGTGTCTGTAGCCCTGTTGTATCCCTGTGCATGGAGTTCTGTAAATTTGTGATCTAAGGCATGCAAATTGGCTCTAGTTGGTTTGAAATTTCAAAAACTGCTTTCTAGAGGAGTTGACGAATTGACCCGGGACTATTAGCTACAATGGTTTAGTCCATGACCCAACCCATTTTTTTGTCATCAAGGTACCATTTGCGCTTATTCATTTAAATATATTCTGTACAAGCAGTATTTATTTTTTAAGTTGTAGTACTTTTCCGTTATTTGTTTGAAGACACGTAGCTAATCTAACAGCTATTATTATTTTCATGGATCAATTCCGGTTCTATTTTGGCGCCCATTCTTCTCAAGGCTATGATCGTATTTACGGCTTTTATCCACCGACGCTTAATGACGTATCTTTTGAGCTTGGACTTGCTGAGTTCCAAGTCGGAGTGTACCGTAGATAGAGCTAGCCAGGGATGATTTAGGACGTCTTGAGCAGATGGTCTTGTTCTGAAAAATAATGAATTATCGTTTGAATCATTTAAATTTTGTCCCCTGATGAACCAAATAATAAAAAAATTTAATAAACTCATGTACCTACCACATAGATCGAGAACAATTTATATGGAAAAAAAAAACAGTTTCAAAATACTTATAGGCACAATTATTGATTATTTAAAATAAATCCTTAGTTTTGTGGTGTAGGACATATTTATTTGGATTTTTTTAATGTGGCGATGTATAGAAAAAAATACATTTACCATAAGCTCCAAAAAAATGTTTTTATTCAACATAGTAAGCTTATGACATATTGATATTTTTTGTACACTGTGGACCTATAGAACCAAAACATTATTGTAATTAATTTTATTAATGATTTCAGTTCAATCGTTGGCTTTTGAGCTGAATACGCAAAAGAAAATGTTTTATTAATTATTTTTATGGCCTTACGTCCTGGTAAATTTTAGGCGGACGCCTATGAACCTAGTATACAGAACTAACGACCTAATGGTTAAGTATAGTGTTTTCTGTGTGCTAAAGTATTTTTGGGATCTTTTCTAACACCAAAATTACTCAAATCGAATTATTAATTAAAAAAATTGGACATTTTCTTGGAAGCCATTTTTCAGAAAATCATTTGAAGGGCCTTTTATTAAAAGATTGGCAACAATCAGCAACAAAGATTATTTTCCAAAGTTTCAATATAAATTTCATCACTTTTACTTTATTTATTATTGCTTGTGTATTTGTGCTTTCGTATTTTATTATTTACACAATTTGTCATCGTAATCATATACTTACCTTCCTTTAAAAAATAAACCTTTCTATTAACTTACTGTCAGTAATTTGTCGGGTTTAGATTTTATTGCCCATATTTGATTTAAATTAAAAAAAATAGAATGTTAGTTAAGTTAAAATATATTTCTTCAAAGTAAATAAACGGCATGCAATTATGAAAGTGTATTTTTGAAGGTCATTGCCATAATAATTTGAAATGATATGAAATTTTTTAGTATAGAACTTATTGTAAGTACAAGGAACAAAAATTAGTAAGGCGGCGCCGGCGGTGACACTGAATGTGAATTCGTCGATAATCGCAGGTACGAACTCATACGAAGTGTTAGCATCTCATACGAACAGACTGATATATCAGATACGAGTTTTTACTTCACTTTTAATATTTATATAAAGCAAAATGGTTATATTTTTGCCCTAAACTAATTTTTTTGTGGTTGCAAAAAAGTTGCGGACAAATTTTCATGCGAATTCCAATTAAATGTAGCCGCCATCTAAGTCAATGTAAAGGATTACTGTTTTAGGAATGTATTTTCATGACTAAGCGATATCTAATAGAAATTTAAATTATAAACCGGTAAACCAAATACTTATTGCTTTAATTACCTTAACCTTTATTTCTGAACTTTTTCTACTAGACAATAACACACCCTGAATAGTAGTTTTCTTTATTATATCCTTAAACTAACAATAAATAATTTCATTAAATGGATATGTCGAGAAAAACTAAACGAATAAATGGTCCCTTATATACAGTGGAAAAATTCGGAAAATGCAGACAAATAAATACACGAAATGTACATCTTTTTACAGCAACGAGTCTAAGTTTTATTGAAGTGAAACTGGGTAATCTTCTTGTTCGTGTTCCTAGATTGAAAAAATGTATTTAGTGAACTTATAGTCCGCTGCCCCAAGGTGTCGCTCTCAGTCCATTCGGATGAAATAGATCCGTGTCGGTTGTTCTGCATTATGGGACCCTTAGGCCCGTCCCAGTGCTCCAACAGTTGTAATAATAAATCCTTGGTGCCGTTTGGGCTTGTGATGCTGTGACTGTTAACTTTCGTTGTGAATTGGTCTTCAGATAGTTTGTGGATATTCCTTACAGCCAGAGGTACGTCTCTCGACATGTGGTTCATTTTGAACTTAGTCCGTCTCCATGGTATTCCACAGTTGGGACTAGCTGGGTGGTCACGCGGTAGCCCATTCTCATCGTGGTTGTTAACAGAGACTGTAATGGGTATGCTTACGGGGATGGTACTTTCGCTTTCAGCTTTAGTGGAAGGTTCACCGAAGCAACTCTGATTGTTCGTGACTGACGTGTTGATGTTGGACAACTGAAAAAGCTTGTCCGACAGCTTCCTGATCTCCTCAGCCAGGTTTATCCTTTCCGCGATATCGTGCGACTTAACGACACCAGCGCTGTCCGAAGCCCTCCTGAAGTGATCTGCACTTGGCGGAAGCAAGGAATCACGATAACCATCCATATCCTCCAAGCCGTTGTTGGTAAACGCATTGTCAGATCCTGGTGAGGAAGCCAAGGAACCACACGGCGAAGGGGAATCCCCTACCAGAGATTCGCTGGAACCTGACAGACTCTGGCTTCCAGTGGGCAGCATCGAGGGGGATACGATGTGGGGGTTAATCTCGAAAACGTAGGGTGAGTTCGGGTGTTCGTTCCACCTCTCCACGAACTGCTTTAGGTTGTCCTTGGTTACGTCCATGCTTGGCGTTCTCGGGACGGTCTGTTTCTTCCTCTTTAACCACTCGTGGTTCAAGCACTCTTGGGCGGTTAGGCGCTGGCTGGAAAGATTTAGACAAAGACCCTGTTAGTAGTATTAATGGACAGAGGCATGCAAACAAAACCCAAATTAGTAAAGAAGACAGAACGAATTAGTTAGTGTCTTGGAGGCTGCAACTAATTTGGGTCTTTGTCTGGCCGCGGAAAACAATAAAATAATTAAATAAATAAGGGCGTTGTTGGAGGTGCATGTAACGTGTTTCACAAAAAAAAATAGTTCCAGGTTTGCAGTCTATTTATATATAGCTGCAAATTATAACTAGGTTTTGTGGATGTAGTTCTGAATACTGTCTTTGGATAATTGGACAAATTTAAAATTTGAACACGTTATTAAAGTAAGAAGAAATTAATTAGAGATAAATGGTGTGAATAGAATATGGTGTGCCTACCAGCCGGTTCAGCTTCCTCCTATCAGCGCATGACGTCAATAACGAGATGGAGACTTTCGTTTTGACATAAATTGTAGTATAACAAACTATTTAAGTTGATCGAGATACATAAGACGTAAAACGTGTATTTCCGCATTTACATAAAGTATGAATTGTGTTTGAAAAGTCAGTTTCAGTATGTAAAAACGTAAACATAACCTTAAATATTGTGTTAAGTATGAAGTTTGAAGAAGAGTTGTTGTTTCGCACAATAAAATGAATAATGTGACTGGAGCACTGAAATTGTAGAAAGTTGTTGCATTCCCATGATATTATATGTCTTTATTACGTTAGTCTCGTTAGTGACGTCACCTTACTGTATTCTCATCACAGTTAAATAATAATAATTATACAACTATTTATTTAAATGTTTTTTTTTGCTTCAATTACACAGTCACACAAAAAAAAGTGTACTTCTCATGTGACATATGTTATCTCTGGTATGTTTGCCTCCTAATCACGAATCGGGTGTCAGAATTGAGCTATTACATCAGAGGAATTTCCTAACCTCAAAAAACAAATGAAAAATAGCAAAATTTACGAAAAAGTGCTAGGAAAAACGGAGATGTTCATTTATATGGTTAAGACCCCCCGAACGTGAATCCGAGGTCAAAGCTGATGGTTCTCTTTCTAACCTCAAAAAAAAAACGGATCAATTAAGGTCAGACATTACAATTTTTCAAAAAACAACAGATTCGCGACAAATTTAGTATAAGGGGGATTTTCAGGGTCGCTGATCACGGATCCGAGGTCAATTTTGCAAAATTCAAGATGGCGGATCCAAGATGGCCGACCAAATTTTCAAAAAACATCACATTCGCGCCAAATTTGGTATAGGGGGATTTTCGGGGTCTCTGATCACGGATCCGAGGTCAATTTTACAAAATTCAAGATGGCAGATCCAAGATGGCCGACCAAATTTTCAAAAAATAACAGATTCGCGCCAAATTTGGTATACGGGGGTTTTCGGGGTCGCTGATTACGTATTCGAGGTCAGAATTACAAAATTCATTTTGTAATATTTTTGTTTACTTTATAACCTGAGTATCCAATAATGTTTTAACCTTCTTTTTTTCGGTTATATCTTGTTCTTTTTTTTGTAAAAGGTCCATTCAGGGATTTTTAGCCTAATCTCAGGTAATAAAGTACATAGGCAATTGATTAATTTTTCAAAAACGAATAGCTCAATTCTGACACCGGATTGGTGATCAGGAGGCAACAATATTACGGATAACATATGTCGCATGAAAAGTACAGACAACTTTTTTTGTGTGTGGCTGTTATTATTAGGTACTTGTGCATTTTAATTAGCTAAAAATAAAAATTATGTTACTTTTTTTGTTACGACAGTGAGACTTTTTCATGGTCTCTTGAAAAATTTTCCCAATGTGGGATATTTCACATTAGAATGAGAACGATAAAACTGCAAAAAATCAAATAATATAATGCATCATTGGCTTATAGTGATGTGTGGCTTTGTTTTTCACTAAAACAAGTACTGTATACTTACTGGGTTGATGCCGAACAATTCATCTGTTCTGTTCTTCATAAATTTGACAATCTACCCTTCAATATCATTAACTGCTTATTAAAAACAGATCAAGTAGAGAAGGAAAATATAGAGCATGATTCATAATAACTATTTTTTGTAGATAATTTTGAACATTACACAGAATAAAAAAATAGTTTGGAAATTTTATTTAAATGTAAATCAGTCATTAACTTCTTCGTAATATTTTATGTTTGTAGCATTTTGTCATTAATTTTTTACCTTTCTTCTCAAACTTTAATGAACATAGAAACAGGTTTAAAGTTCAGCCAAGCTGAAGGAGAATAATGATACAATTTATGTTACATGGACCTCCTATACAAAATGACTAGTTAAAAATATAGATACTCATGCCAAAGTTAAAAATAAATTCATGGTCATAGTGCATAATAATGTCTACCTACAAGATATATTGAGTCCTGTCCAACATGCAATAAATAAAATACTTTGAAAACTATTTTCTTAGGCGATTTTAAAATAAATTTTATTGCGATCTGGTCATTATTTTTTTTTGTCACGCGTGAAAGTACTTGTTTTTGAAATATATTTTAAATGTAGTTTATTGAGCTGTTAAAAGGTATTCGTCATTTACAAATACAGGGTGCTGTACATTTTATGGTAGTTTTTTTAAGTTACTTTTTTGCGATATATGTTGTATTAGCTTTACGAAAAAAAAGTTACTATATTACCTAATTATCTTCAAAAACGGCAGAATTTAGCTAAGAACGTATTTTATAGTTAATTTGTAGGTTATAAATTAGAGCTTTTACCACAAATATCATACCGGTGAGATTATTAGGTTAGAAACACCCACGTCGTCATAAATTTCTTATGTAACTCCACATCTCAAAATAGTGCAGAGATTTATACCTGGATTAATGTAAATCGCTAATTTCTCGCTAATAAAATTAAGTGTTAACACATTGATCAGGTGCTTCGAGTTGCCAAAACAGTAATTAGGCAGATACAATAATTTTTTTTAAATAGACTAGTGCACAAATGCTACCAAATAGTTTTTAGCTTAAAATTTGATAATTAGGTCTACTATATCTTCATTCGCCAGTTACAGGGTGTTTAATTTTTTCAGAACATCAGATATTTGACGTAGATTAATAGATCTTGGATAGGATTTAACCAACTAGAGACTAAAATTCATTAAATTTGTACACAATTATATCAGTGGCGGAGATTTTGGGAGACACGCCATCATACCGTCATCAATAAGTTCATTTGATTAGCATCGTAGTCTATTTTCTTGAAAGAAAGATCATTTTTCAGTAATTATTTTTTCTTTTTGCCTAAAATAAACGTATAACGCAGTTGAATAAGAAAATGTTCGTTTCATCGAAAATATATAAGAAGTTTTTATTGCAAATAAAAATGGCTATCACTGGAAAAGAATTACCCGCATAAAATGACTATTTTCGCGTAAAAATGAAAATAATACATTGTCTTTCAAGTCATCGTGATAAATTGATGACAGACAATCAATATTGTTATTTTTCTTTTTCTCTGATGATACTGATTTAAAAAAATATAAACCTGTCGCAAGTACAAACATTTTGAGTAACTACGAGTTCCTGCCGATGGCCAACTTGATTTTATTCTACAACCAAAGTGACATTTTTATTTTTGGTGTAACCTTGTCTAACATTTTTAACTGATAAAGTATAGAACATCGCTTAGCGGGTTAAAAATAAAACGGTTTTAAGAATATCCGTGGTGCATTCCAGTGAAATTTTCGAGTTAAGTAATCAACGTCATCGGCTCATCCTTTAAGGATCGTTAAACTCCGTTAAAAATATGCTGAAATATCAGCTGTTAAAAACAAACCTTCCCGGGGCTGCCAAAAAGTAGCTGGAGGTTAAGTATACAATCAGCGGTCTATATTTAAGGGTAGATTTGTGGGTATCCAAGAAAATGTTTATGGAAACGTTGTCTGTAACTCTTGTTCTGAAAAATATTTGTAACGCGACTCTTGAAATTAGATTTTTAAAATCAAGGACGGTACAGAGAAACATAGCTAATACAATGCTAAACATCGCCTTGATGTCAAAAATGCTGTCACCGCCGTTCTTGGTGGTGAATATTTGAAATTATTCAATTTCTGTGGTTGAAAACAGTATTGCATTGTCGAAACCAAGAGAGTTGTATGAATAAAATTTGGACAGGACATAGCTAATACGATGCGAAACATCGCCTTAATGTTAAGAATGCTGTCACCGCCGTTCTTGGTTGTACGAGATAAAAACAATTGACACAGATGTCAGTAAAATTAAAATACCTTTTAGTGTAAACACAGTTTTATAAATATTCTAGGTATTTTTGGTGTGTTTTTTTTTACACCGAAATTAATGAATAACACACTTAGCTATTCACAAAGTGAGGATGTGGGTGATTATTTTAGCGCTTTGTAACAAAGCATCCACCTACTTGTCCAAACTTAAGGCTCAGTTATATGTTTCTACAAGTCGCCTACATAAGTAAATTAAGGAATAACACAATTTTTATTTGAATTTTTCGCAAAGTTCGAAATTGTCGTAAAAGTGTCGATATTTCAGTTCGAGCGTCAGTTTTGTTTTGAAACTCGGCCTACCTGAAAAAAATCTCTTTCGGGTTACTTCTCAATAAATATTTTTGGTAGAAGTAGCGAATCGACTTTGGAGGCGTCGAATTTGGCAATTAAGCCATAAAAATTGGCATAAAAGTTGAAATTTTTTATACCTGCACACGAACATGGTTTGACAGCAGGTAAATATTTTTGAAGTTATATTTATAGAAATGTAAATTTCAGCTTATATTCTTACGTTCTAGTAGTTCTTTATAAAAGGTTATTGGAAATAAATACTGCTAATAAAACAGAACAAAGCAACAAAACATGAATCTTTAAAAAATTGGTATATTCTCAAAAAGAGACTAAACTTTCTTTGAGAAATCGTTGTAGATAACCACTATTATTTTTATCCGTTTGTATTTTCTCCCCAATCTTTTCTAGTACGCTTCTGCCAAATCGCTCTCATCGCGTTCATCTTAAAACGTCAGTGTTTTGATATTTAATTTGGAAATTGTTCAAAATTATATAAATAAATAGGCATTTTCTCCTTTATCACCTTGACCCTAGGATCGAAAACAATTTCGCTTCCAAAACAAACATCTCTAGACAAAGCGTCCTTGAAATAAAATGATTAGACCCAATATCATTTTTATTAAACCATAATTATAATATGTCTACATATAATAGCAATATTTGTCAGTTCCTCATTTATTTTATCAATTCTTATTGATGTAAATTTTAAATTTGAAAGAAGTATTTGTATATTCTTTGCTTTAATAATTGCTAGACTACGTGTTTTTAAGGAAAAGCTATGAAAATATTTTTTCTCTTACACCAAAGCTATTATTAGATATTTGATAATTTATCGGTATTTCAAGTGTTATTAATGGCAGTAAAAGTAAATGATGGATTTACTCGGATTAGATATTATTAAAAATATGTTATCTGTGTATTGTCAGTTTGATTTCGATATACCAAATGTTATAAAAACGTATTTAACTTTAATAATTTGGCAATGTCTTGGTTGTTTGTAATAATTTCTAAATCAGCCTGTATTTGAAAATTTGTACTTAAATAAAATTATATGACCATTCTGTGTCTATGATAGTTAGATTTAAAAATTGCGTTAAGTGCTAAAATAAAATCTCCATAAAAACGTTGTTTTCGTTTATTTTAGTGTAATTTCATTAGGTTCCGCTACGTTGTAAACCTCTTTCCGTTTGCGCAATACCGGTCGAAAGTTAAAATTAGACATTTTTATGCACTTGGACCGCGACCATTTGTCAGATACTCACTTCATGTCTTTGACGAGGAGCTTCTGGATGAAGTCCTTGGCGTTGTCGGAGATCTCGTCGAAGGCTTCATCGTCGAAGTCGTACTTGGCGATGGTCACGTTGGCCATGGTCTCAACGTCGGTGTGTCCCATGAAAGGGGAAAGGCCAGAAAGTCTGGAAAAATTTTGTCAGTTAGGTACTAATAATAAAAATTACAGTATATGGTAAAAACTTGACTTATTTGTGGAACAAAAAATGTGTAGCTGCCAGAATAAAAACAAGAAAGTCGATAAATATTAAAGAAAGACGTTGGGAGCATTGAATTCTCCAAGAGCATTTGATTAACAAACAATTGCAGTCATTTTCAATTGCCGATTTAAAATGCCATCTGTATTTTGATAAAATATGACCTTATCAACTGCAAATAATACGTTTTTTCAATTACAGTTTTGTGCAAGCATGTAATTAATGTAAGTAATGAAAAATATTGGCCCTAAAACAGTACCTGTGGGGACACCATATGTTAAAAATTTATTATGCTTTGGTTAACTTTAACATAATCAATTTTCTTCTTATTTGGGCCCTTTGGACATAATTTTTATTATATAAATGCAGTTTTCTATCAATAACGTTCACCAAAAAATGATTCAAAACAAAACTTTGGAGATATTTTTATGGTTTCAATTTTTTTCATATTCAATATGCTTGAGCATTACAAACTGTGTTTCACTTCTCCAAAGAACGAAATGGTCCAAAGAACTTTACATGATTTGTATTATTTGTTTTAATGACAGTAACTATTAACGTTTGTCCTGACTATTACACTTTATATTCGTAAGAATATTGTTAAAATATGACATCCTTTCTGAAATAAAGAAATTAATTTAATAGTTATTTACACCATAAAGGAGGTAAGTATTATTTACCAGTCGAGGACGATTTTGCGCCCGAGCGGAGCGAGGGCTGGCAATAGACTCCGAGACTGGTAAATTATACTTAACTGCTGCGTGGTGTATAACATTTTATCTGCTGCCACAGTTCTTTATGGTTCATGAAATAAAGATTGGGTCTAATTTTTTGACATTTCTTGATCAATTAATTTGCAATCTTGCAATGTCGCCTTGGTTGCTTGGATTTTGTCGTTTCCAAGGTGTTTATAAACAAAGCTACATAAAAGTTGCAATTTTGCTGGTTTTGAATTATTATTTCTAAACAAGCGATTTTCAAATAGAAAGTGCAGCAAATGCTGCCTGCGAATTTTTGTTGCCCGAGAAGTCGAAAGTTTGCTACGGACGAACATATAGAAATTTCAAAGAATGGTGCCAGACTAAAACACCGGCGAGTTTGTGGAGTAAATGATCAATGATTAAGTCAACTATTTTCATAGAGGAGAACGTGGATATATCAGAATACCCCAAGCTGAGGAGCATTTTTGAAACGTAAGAATGATGGCTATACACCTAAAAAGTGAAACGTTTTTACAATCGTTCAGGCACCTGATAACACATATTTGTTAATAAAGGTAGTGACGGTCTTAGGCATTGCAGGAGCATGCCGTTCCGATGAGTTATGTAAACTTACTTTGGACAACGTCAATTTCAAAAATTTCGATGACATTATAGTAGTTACAATTCCAGATTCTAAAAATTATATGTCACGTACGTTTACAATTATTTCTCGTCTGGATTCTGTTTCTCACCTAGAAATTCTCAAGAAATATATCAAGATTAGATTGGAAACTAAAACTGAATTTTCATGCTTTTTTATGCGCTACCAAGCAGGTAGATGTTACAACCAACCAGTCAGCAAGAATACCCTTTCTATGATTTCTAATAAGATTACACAGTTTTTGAAACTAGAACATCCTGAAACATATACAGGCCATTCATTCCGAAGAACATCGGCAACGTTACTGGCTAATACAGGAGTTGATGTATTAGCAATCAAGAGACATGGTGAGTGGAAATCAGCCACAATTGCAGAAAGTTATGTTGCTGACAGTTTAGGTAACAGAAATGATATAGCCAACAGAATTCTTTACAATTACACTTCAACTCCAGGTTCTAGCAATACGTGGCATCATGCTGTTTTAATGAATCAGTCAAATAATGTTGAGCCTCCGGTGAATTTATAACTCGAAATCGCTTTTGTCCCTAGGGAGGAAATTTACCTCACTTACCTTCCGTTGTCCATAGTAATGCCTCTTCGGTAAAATCCACTCACCTCATTAAAAACAATATATATTTAAGTTAATGTTAAGGGTGAAACCAAAACACTGGCGACTCCGCCATAATTTATTATGCAGAGTAGTGCTATCGTAATTGGAAATTTGTTTGCTTAAGTTAAAGCTATTATAAATTAAATAAATTTCTAATCAGTCTTAACGTTTTTTGTGAAAATATTAATTAATTTAACTCAGTCTCTTAGATAGAACCAACAAATACTTTGATGAAGTAGTCAACTTTTATGCGGGAGAAAATGTCTAAATCTGAGATGTGAACGCTTTTTGAATCAGCATTTATACGATAAATTGAATATTTTGTACAACCAAAATAATGCACTCAAAATCTTAATAAGTAGAATCGTCGAATATTCTCGATATATCCTTATGAACTTTGGACAAAAAAATTATTAGATTTGGCTATTAACATTCTGACAATTTTAACGTTAAGAGAAATACATTTTTCAAATTAATTTTTCAATTTTTCAGGTCAGTCTCTGACTTTTACTTCAAAAAAATTGAATTAAGAGCACTCATCGAACAAAACAATAAATATAAGCTCTGACAGCACAAACGACCTTGTTTACAACGACATATAGTCGTAAACAATGTAATTTTATTAATTAAACGCTGATCTCATTTTGGCTCTGCATAATTAATAATGGCCGTAGAAAATACGTTCCTACCTTTTTCAAGGAGTGTCTCCATAAAATGATTTTTTTAATTAAATGATTCTGTACAATAGCCCTTGAGGGAACAGTTTTTTATCGCCAGTATAGAAAAAAAGCTTTCATAATATATTACGGTTATAATCGTTACTAATTCGGTAAATACTTGAATATGCAATAATGATGTAATGTAATAAACTTCAGAAATAAGAAATACATTTTAGTAATAAGGTTGCGAAATGGCATGAGCTGTATATTTTGCTCGCAATATTCTGTTTATATGGTCAAATACTGGGGTCAAAGTAAGACAATTTAATTAAATCTCTACCTACATCCAAAGCTACCTGGTTTAGCAAGTGGTCACTGTTGTGGCTAAACGAAGCAAATTTGGATAGGGTTAAGTTTAATCGTCCTTGATTTTAGAAAATGAATGTTATTTGTATAGCAGATTATTCATTTTAGTGTAGAAAATGATCATCGAAATATTTCTGAACCAGATCAACAGAATGCATTCATATATCAGCTTCATCATGGAGATGAAACAAAATGATGCCTTACCGTTTTTAACTTTCTTTGTTAAGATAAAACCGGACGATTACATAAAGCCAATTCACTCGGATAGATATCTAAACGCCGGGACACAAGTGTCACTTAAAAAGTAATAAAGTAGGAAAACCAGAAGTTGCTGAATACAGGGCAGATGCAGGACATGTGATACACCTAACACCAGAATTTCAGTGAGAGGGATAGAGAGAATATTTTGATCAAGACTCTGCAGGATAGTAGAAATCGAGAAGAACCGAGATAATTTCAAAAGACACGAAAGGTTTAGAACTATCTGGAACTTGGAAAGGATTCATCTGCAAGAATCAAGGACCAGTACTCTAGAACGCCATAGACCAGTGCATATATAAATACCAACCAGAGGACTTAATCTCCAGTTCCAGATTTTCTTGTGGAATTTGCTCAGCCATTGATAACTCATTTTAACCTTTTTTCGGAAGTGGAAAACTTCTGTAACTGTGCAACTGTAAAGTTTATAAAAAAAAATGGTTTTAATAAAAGTTGCCTGGAATTATGTGGGCCCTGTAAAGAAAATATTTTTAGCTTTACATGGTGCTACGTAACTTTGTTGTTTTAAATAGAATACCCTGTATATTGTTGCATTTTTGAATTCCTTGGTTAATATTAGGTACAGTTTATTAAAGGTACTTGGTGTTTAAAACTTACCATTTTCGAGATAATCAGTTTGTTTTTTAAAAAAGTCACAATTTCAGCTCTCTAAATGAAGCTAGATAGCATCTGAACCGTAAGAGTTAGAAACCTGCAATTTTCACAGTTCGTTTTGGCATAAATTACTCTATCTTGTCATATGTGAGCAAAACTTCTGCCTTATTCAAACTCGGAAATACTGAGACCTACATTTAGTAATATTACGCGTTGAAAAACTATTTTTTTTTCAAATAGAATGACCCATATTAATTGACATGGGTGAATGCAGAATTGAATGCCCTTTCGATTGACATAAGTTTGTCCATACTTATCTTTAACAGTTTTCCAGAAAAATCAGGTTCTTTTCTAAAGTCCGAAAAACAAGCTATGTAACATAGTCAAGAAGGCCTTGCTAAACCACTTTTCTCTCACATTTTATCAGGTCCGGGACTGACAGTGTCAATATTTACTGGCATGTTTAAAAAGTGGTTTGACAAACAAAAGTAAACCACTAGCAACAACTAAAACAAAACACAAAACGAAACAAACTGAAAGTTGGAACACAAACAAAGAGAAGAATACTTTGACGGCTGATTTACATCAATTGCTCGAAGTGTCCTCCATTTTGATTAATACACAAACGAATTCGGTTTATAAAAACTGTTCAAGATTGGTCAGCATGTTTGACGTAATTTCTTGAAATGCTACTGTAATGCGCTGCCACATATCATCCGCGGTAATTGGTGGTGTAACGTAAACTTTGCTTTTTATAAATCTTCATAAAAAGAAGTTGCAACTTGTCATATCTGGACACCTTGAAGGCCAACTCACTGGTCCTCCGCACCCAATCTCTCTATTGGGAAAAGTTTCGTGTAAAAACTGACGAACGCAGCGGTATTGTGAGGTGGATCACCATCATGTTGCATCCACATTCTTCGAAGTGTAGCTAAATGAATGTCATCTAACAAATCTTCTAGAGTATTTGTTAAAAAGTTTAAATAAACTCCTCGAGTTTAACGCTGGTCAAAAAAGAATGGTCCAATGATATGGGTTCCTAAAATTGTTCCTCACGCATTCAACGACCATCGTTGGCTATGAGTTGCCCGGTGAGGATTTACTGTGTCATAATAATGGCAATTATGATTAACGAAACCATTTTTATGAAAAAGAGCCTCATCGTAGAACATGATCTAACATCTCAAGTGTCCACTGACAAAACTCCAGTCTCCACTGAAAGTCTACTTTTAGTAACTCTTGGTGTAATTGGATGCTATAAGGATGTGCTGTGCTGTGCTTTTGTAAAATCCTATAAATCGACGTTGTACTAATACAATTGCAAGGCCTTTCTTGAGGCTGTTACATAGCTACTTTTTCGGACTTTAGAAAAGAACTTGATTTTTCTGGAAAATTGTTAGAGATAAGTATGGACAACCTTATATCAGTCGAAAAGGCATTCAATTTTGCATTCACCCATGATAATTAATATGGGTCATTCCATTTGAAAAAAAGTTTTCAACTCGTAAGATTATTAAATGTAGGTCTCAGTATTTCCGTGTTTGAATAACGTACACGTTTTGCTCACAGATAACAAATTAGAGTAATTTATGCCAAAGCGAACTGTGAAAACTTCAGGTTTCCAACTAGATTTGTCAAATTGTGCTGCAGATCTTTTTTTTTTAGACATCGATTTCCTCGTAAACAATTTGACTTCCAGATTTCCTAAAGACCTTTATTTTTAGACATTAATTTCTCCGGGTCTGTCATGAAATAGATCTGGTAACCCTATTTAGATGCTATCTAGCCTCATTTAGAGAGATTAAATCGTGATTTTTTTCAAAAACAACTGATTATCTCGAAAACAGTAAGTTTTAATGTACACCATGTGCATTTAATAACTAATATTAACCAAGGAATACAAAAAACGCAATAATATACAGGGTGTTCCGTTTAAAATAACAAAGTTATGTAGCTCCCATGAGGAATGGCAACCCCGTAAAGATAAAAACAGTTTCTTTACATGGTATACATGATTCTAGACAACTTTTATTAAACCCATTTTTTTATCAATTTTACAGTTACGTACAGAAGAATCCCTCTTAGGTGGAAAACCTTGTTTATGACATATTCTGAAAAACAAATGACTGCACTGAAATTAATTTACAGTTTCTGAATTTTAAATACGGTTGATACTTTGTTAGGCACGTGATTAATGAGAAATTCAAATTATCTTCTTATTTAAAAAAAATCGACTAAAAAATGTGAAATACGTTGGGCGCCGCAAAAAGTGTAAATACTTTGTAACTCGTTCTCATACTCACAGAACGTAACATATAACTCCAACGGACCACATGTCGGTGCCATATCCAATTTCGTCGAAATTGACGACCTCGGGGGCGACGAATTCGGGAGTGCCGAACAGGACCTGCAGCTTCTTGTCGGGATCGAATTTTCTGGCCAGCCCGAAATCGATTATTTTTATCCTGTTTCCCGTTTTCGTCAGGCACAGGATGTTCTCCGGCTGAAAAACAACAAGCGATAAAAATAGTGGATCGAATTCCACAGGTTTCAGTGAAGTAAACCGCGTGCGACGCGGCGGCAGCGGCTTCCAGTCTGATAACCTATGTGGGTCACTCTCTTAAAATAAACAGAATTATTCGGCGCGCCAGACGTGAAGAATTTCGTAAAACGGTTCTATATGAAAGCGTCCGGATCGGGATTAGGTAACAGCGTAAATATTTGGGATATTTCAGAAAGTTAGTTTGTGGTTTTTATTATTTTAAGTGGCTATTTAGTGATTTCTAAATCTAAAGTTAAAAATTAAATTAAATTACTCCGCAAATATTTATACAGGGTGTCCCAATAATAACTCTAGTCGTCATTTTACTTCTCTAAACTGGTTTGGTGGACTAGCTTCAGTTTCGCGGTGTGCATGTCACTACCAACATTGACACATAGGTGGCGTTGTAGTGCCAAACCATCTTGCGGTCTAGTGCACAAGAGAGTATATTTTTTTACATTTTTTCTCAAGTAGTCCAGTCATTGAAGGTAAAATACGGCGTTACTTTATAATTTTCCCAAACAGCACCGATTTGCACCAAAATTTGGATTTAGGTCCTACTTACCCTCAACTTCAAAGTTGACCCTGTGCCGGGGGTTGTTTTTTATTTTTTAGGGGTGAAAACTACTCCTTTTCGAAAATAATTATAGAATTGTAGATTCGAGCGTGTAATAGGTTGAAATCATCTTTAAATAAGTAATTATGATGAATTGAAAATTGTCCATCCATAAAATCCACCCCCTATGACAGTTATCATTAAAAAATAATGTTGAAAAATATTATTCAACAACTTGGAATAATTTAATCAGATTGTGATACATATTAAATTAAGATTTCTTTACTGTTTTAATTTTTTATTGTTTATTTATAAGTTTCAACCCTTATAAAAACCACCCCTTGCAAAAAAAATCGAACAATTATAGTTAAAAAACTTTTTTTTAGTTCAAAATATAATACAATCTTTTTATTACTTAATGTAATGAATTTATTTATTTACAAACCTTAAAAAAGCTCTACTGATTAAAATTTGCAATCAAAAATAGGGAAAATAAGAATTTTGTTTTTATATGGATTTTAATTTTTTTTATTGCAAATAACATATAAATAATCAAAAATCCTCTTCACTCTCGTCTTCCTTTTCTATTCTATTCTTAAAATTCATATTTCTATTCCTAAAATATAGCTATAATGTGTATTCATCAATGCTTCAATACAGGGTGGTCCGAATTTTATGCAGGAATTTTTATCCTACAGAAAAAAAATAAAATTTTCAAAAAGAGCAAAACCTACAAGTTTGTACTCTACACATTGTTGCGTATCGTTAATAGTTTTTGAGTTATTTTGAAGCAAAGACAATCTTTTCCAAAAATACAAAAATTCTCGTTTCACTTTAAGCGCAACTTTTTTCAGAACTAAGCACTTTCAAACTTCTAGAGCATATCGCAAGTACATAAATAAAGTAAACTGTAGAGTGATAACGATTATTTTCAAATGGGGTGGTAATTAGGGGGTAATTTACACGGTTTTTGTCGCCGAAAAAATACGTACCAACTTTATTTTCAACATAACCCGCTTAGGGTTAGCATCAACCCTTTTATAAAAAATAGAAATAAAGATTTTTTTCTTCAAGCGTATAATAATACTTATATTATATAGTGCAACACCTCCTTTAGAAGCAGCCCATTGTTTAACTAGTACAAATATTTTTCATTTTTTAACTAGTAAAAAAATGTAACAATGTGTAGGTAAGTATCCTAGCAACGAATTAAAGATTTAAGAAGCTTTGACGTTTCATTAAGTGTCAGTTGAAATTTGATGTCGCGTCGGGTCGTTTTTAAAATGTCTGAAGAAAGGCAGTGCACACCACCAGAATTACTGGAAATTGCAAATACATCAGTGGCAACACTTATACCAACAAAGTCGAGAAAAATTTATGAAAATGCTTATGATAAATTCATGAATTGGGCAAAAGAAAATAATGCACATATTTATTCAGAAAATGTGATGATAGCATATTTTACAAGATTATCCAGAACACTGAAAAGTTCAACTTTATGGGCGCAATATTCAATGGTAAAATCTAAATTAAACATAGAACACAATGTAAATATTGAGAAATATTCAAAATTAATTACATTTTTGAAACGACAAGGTGAAAATTATAAACCAAAAAAGTCGAAAGTTTTGTCTAAAAAAGAATTTGACGAATTCCTGAATAAAGCACCTGATGATAAATATTTAGCAACCAAGGTATGTACTTTTTAAATTATAGGTAGATATATATTTAACCTTTTTATATTTGTAATACAAAATTTTGTTATAATTTGTAAACTTCAAGTTATTTTATAGTATCCATTACGAGAATAATAAACAATTTTCGGAAATAAAGATAGCTCATTGGAAGAATGTTGTAAAAACTCATAAATATAGATGTCTTAAAATTACGTCATGTTTTAGAATTTCCTTGCATTTTCCAACTTTTTTTATTGTTACAAAATTAATAATTCTATATTTTTTAGGTTGCACTAATATTTGGAGTCACAGGAGCTTGTAGATGCGATGAACTCATTCAAGTAAAAGTTAATGATGTAAAAGATTTGGGAAATATAATATTAGTAAATATTCCCAATACAAAAACTAAAAAACATCGTTCATTTACCATAATTGGAGAGTTTTATTTAAATTTATACAGAAAATATGCTACTCTTCGGCCAAAAGACATAACTTTTGATAGATTTTTTATTAAATATCAAAATGGCCATTGTCATCGTGTTGTAATGGGCATACATAAAATTTCAAAAGTGCCAAAAGATGTTGCATCATTTTTAAGGTTGCCAAATCCACATGAATATACGGGGCATTGCCTTAGAAGAACCTCGGCAACTATCTTAGTTGATAATGGTGGAGACATTACAACCCTAAAGCGACATGGTGGATGGAAATCTACCAGCGTCGCTGAAGGATACATTGAAGATTCTGTAAACAATAAGAAACAGATAGCGATGAAAATATTAAACCCATTAGAGTATAATGAACCAAGTACATCAAGCGAAACTGTAAATATTGATCCTGAAAATAATTTAATCGAAGACTTTTCTGTTAATAATGGTACAATTGTTAACACTGAAACTGAGAACCTTATTACAAGTAACGTATTCAACGACAGAACTGTAAACTTTGAAAAAAAGACAGCCAGCAGCGCTTTAAATATCAACAACTGTACCATACAAAATTGCACATTTAATATTCATGTTAATAAATAAAGTTTGATGATAGACATGTAGGTAATTTAGATGTTTATTCGTTTAATTCAAATTAAAGAAAAATAATTGTTACATTTGTTTTTTTATTCATGAATAAAGTGGTTAAAACTGTCATGTTTAATTAATCAATAAAATGTATAAAATGTATAAAATAAATAGTATTACCTACCTACTGATTTTATTTTGTGCTGAGATTGAACATCGCGTTATCCGCTATAAATTTTCAAAATTAGTAATTTTTTATATTCACGCTTGAAGAAAAAATAGTATATGTCACTCGGAGTGGAAGGCTCATTATGTGTTTTGCCCAATTTGCTCAGCCTCGGCTAACGCCTCGGCGAGCAAACTTTTGGGCTCAACACATAATGATCGCCTTCTACTCCTAGTAACATAATATACTATTTCAAGCACCTTAAAAAAGGTGCTATGAGTATTCCCTGAAAAATGCATTGATTTTTGGTTGTTTCACGTTCAAACTTTCAATTTTCGTGTTTGACGAATAAGAACCAACCTTCAACAAGCTACTATTCCGCTTGTGTTAGATCTACAGGCACCATAAACACACCATTCTTTTTGTTTTTTCATAAGCTACATTTTTTTTGTTAAATTACTTACTTTTTGAGTTATTCACGAAAAACCGTCTGGAAGTGTTTTTTTTTTTTTTGGTTAAAAAATTTACACTTTCACTCGCGAATAAGTCGAAAAGTATTGACTTTCAGAAAAAACTTTATAGAACAAAAGTTGCTTAGAATTAGTCAATGTATCCCGGAGTTATTTTCAATGAAACATTTTTCACCCCCGAGAAGGGGTGGCATCCACCCCCAGGGTAAAAGCAACCCCCGGTACAAGGTCAATTTTGAAGTAGAGGGTAAGGCGACCCTAAATCCAAATTTTTATGAAATTCGGTGCTGTTTGGCAAAATTATACGGGAAAATGGTCATAGATTGGACTAAAAAGTTAATAGATTCCGAGATGTTTCAAATATGTTTTATCGAATGCATTTATGCTTTCATTTATTTGTGGTACATCCGGACGAATAAAATAGTCATAGAAATCATTGTCCACTCTGTATAACAAATACGCTCTTTGACGTAAATACAAAGACATTCTTAAACGATTTTCAAAGACACAACAATTCGCGTATTTTATGAAATTATATTTTATTGTTTTATTAACAAAACATGCGTGTCTGTTTGAAAGCAGAAATTGAACTAAACAAAGATGCCGCATGCCATTATAATTACCTCACACAATGAAGTTATTAAATAAGAGATATCTGGGTATTAATATTTAATTAATTCCATTCTAAAAGGAGTCCACTTAAATGCAGAAATAACTTAATTTATTACGTCTAATTCTGTATCAGACTTTGTTCACAATGATGCTGCAGCTACTGGAAACAAGAATAGGAATTTCTTTGAAGATATTAAGACCGTTTAAATTGGTTTTAAAACTTTTATCCACAATCACCTTTATTTCACTAGTAGAATAAAAAAAGAAGTGGATCTTATTTGTGGAAGGGCGAAATGGGCGGTGACTATTAGACGCTTTCATTATAGCCATCTTTCTCTATCACACGGATTTCTATGACTTTCTTTATCGCTCTCACGTAAAGGCCGATGAACCATGGGGACTTTCCGACCGTGTGTATGATTGTGATGTGATTATGGGTAAAACGTTGTATTGCATTCGTGTTTTAATTGACTTTTATCCTCTTAAGAATATTAAACAATCTTTCGTGGATAAAATGCTACTTAAAACACTTATACAATATATAACTAAGTTAGCCTTAATCAGCATGATGTAAAACCCTTCAATCTCAAATTTTATCAATGTATAAGCCAGTAGATATATTTTTTTACACATAGGGGCCTTTGAAAATGGCTGAAGATGAAAAATTTGCCAATTGTTGATCTTGTTGACCATAGCTGGTAAATAATAAGTCTACAGACCTATTAACAGTTCTTAAGAGACTATTATTTGACAACTTCAAATCATCGACAGCTTGGTCATCTGGTGGTAAATGAAATATGCGCAAAAAACACATTTTAAGACTGTACTGACCTTCATGTCCAGGTGGAGGATTCGCTGTTTGTGTATGAAATCGACCCCCTCGCAAATCTGTCTCATGAATATGGTGCAGCTTTTCTCGGTCAGGATGAAGTCGTCGTCGATGACCCTTTCAAAGAGCTCCCCGCCTTCTATCCTGCAAGCAGAAAGAATTCATATAGAACGGCTATTTTTACACTTCAAAGAATCGAGCCCGCGTTTTCAATTCTGAACAAAGTACATAAAGCTCGCGTTGGCTTCAAAGACCGCGTTTCAAGGAAAATAAATTTTCACATAGGAGTATTAAGAGTTGGGCGATTGTGAGTGAACTGAATCAATTTGGTTATAAATATACGCCGTATTAATTACTGACGGAGTTTTGAAAGCATTCCTGAAATTGGTTATCCGGGGGTATGATTTTACCTTTGCTTAATTTAGTAAATGTATAAATAAAAACATTAAAAGGTGCCACGTGGTGTTATTCCATAGGCAGTGATAAATTCAAGTGATTTATTTATAAAGAAAAATCTTTTAAAAGTGCTTCTAAGCTTTCTGGGTTTATTGAATCCCGTTTAAAAGGTTCTTATAAATGTAAACATATCTGGAAGACTTTATTATTTCTAATAATCATTTTTTGAAAAAAAAAGTACTCACAGTTCTAAAATAACAGTCATGATTTTGCCATTTTCAAACGCGTCGTAGACCTGGATGAGTCGGGGGTGCTGTAACGCCCTCATTATATCTATTTCTCTCTCCACATTTCGGCGGTCTTCTTTTTTGGGACATCCTATGAACTTTGCTGCCAGATACAGTCCTGACGACTTCTCTTTGCACTTGTACACGGTTCCAAATTTACCCCTAAAATAGGAAAAATATAATCAGTGACAAACAAGAAAATTTAGAACTAGCTATTTGGGTTTGGTTAAATATCTAACTTAGATTGTAAATATGTAAGGTAGTATTAAATTTAAACTTATAATCAAACCAAATTACACTTAGAGAAAAAAAAAATTGTTACCCGGACTTTTATAAGCGGAAATGATAAAAGGGCTTATAATATACCTAAAAAAAAATAAATGAGTGAGCACGGAGAAGGGAGGGTTGATTTAAGGGGTTGAAAAGTTGTGAAAAATTGTATCTTTGGGATTTCTGGCGAAAGTTGACGTCAAACAAAAAAGTATTAAATAGAAAGGTTGTAGATCATGCAAAAATCTACAACTTTTGTAGGGGTCACTTTTAAACATAACCTCAAAATTTCCGAGAAAAATGCGAAAAACAGTTTTTTTCTGATTTTTCGTTTTTTATTTCTCATTTCCGCAAAAATAATTTAATTTTGACGAAACTTGGGGAAAGTATACCTTTCTGTGTCTTAAATAACCACAATAATCATTTTTTAGATAAAAAAAATCAAGAAGTTTCCAAGATATTCATTTTTTCCGGTCTGAAATTATTTTTTTTTGCATTTATGAGAATGTTTTTGAACTGTGATTACAGATTTTTTATTTCACCAAAAAGTATAAAAACGAAAAAAATTATCACCGGCAGAACTCTGTACGATGATTTTTCAAAGTAGAATTTTTTTTTGAAAAAAAGTGTTTCAGGCCGGAAAATATTAATATCTCGGAAACTTATGGATTTTTTTATGTAAAAAAATTTGTGGTTATTTAAGACACATAAAGGTATACTTTCCCCAAGGTTCGTCAAAATTAAATTATTTTTGCGAAAATGAAAAATAAAAAACGAAAAATAAAAAAAAACTGTTTTTCGCATTTTTCTCGGAAATTTTGAGGTTATCTTAATAAGTGACCTCTACAAAAGTTGTAGATTTTTGCATAATCTACAACTTTTGTATTGGATATCTTTTTTTTGACGTCAACTTTCGCCAGAAATCTCAATTATTCAATTTTCCACAACTTTTCAACCCCCCAAATCAACCCTCCGCCACCCCTGCTCACGCAGGATTATAATCCCCTTTATCATTTGCACTTATAAAAGTCCAGGTATAGTTACTAATGCCAGGGCTCTTCAAATCTCTATCTTCTGGTATAAACATTTTCTTATTCAATAAACAAAATTGATAAACAAAAAAATAATCAAACCATTTATTGCCTATACTTGATAATAATTCACATAGTAATGAGCTTACAGAAAAGTACTTTAAAAAATATTCGTAAATAAATGTATTCTTGCTGCAAGAACAATAAATTGTTTCTGTGTTAAAAAAAAACAGTGATTCATTAAACAATTATTTATAAAAGTGTCAAACTAATTTTTGATTGAGGTAATATTAATATGACTGATGTAATCCACAATGTTTACAATTAACTTTTATTCAATTAGCGGTAGCAATCCGTGTTTCATTCACAATCCGCTCCTACTAAAATTTACATTTTATGATTGGATATGTTTTTGCGTAAAGGCAGATGTACGCTTTTAATTCACCTATTGAAATCTCATTATTGGAAAACGTTTTCCGCGTATGCTCGAAATATAATTAATTTTACAACTATTTCTGTTTCGAATTTACCGACGACATGTCCATCAAAAACAGCTTAATGACGTTCTCTATAAAATGAAATTTTAATCTCTCCAAAATGAAATAAATTGGATTAAAAGTCCTACATTTTGCAGACGATTAATTTTTTTACCTGTCTGTGCCCTATCTGTATTATATCCATAAGTTTCTTTAAAAAATTCGAAGCAAGCTATATCAAAGATGATCTCTAAAAAAGCCATCGCCATCATTTTGGAACGAAACGCCCTATTTGACGTGTAATTACTTTTTTTCTCTCTTAATATCCACAGTAAAATCACAGCTCTGTTAACAAAATATTGTTCATACCAAAATCCAGGCCATACTTGTTAAATATACAGGCTGTTACAAATTCGCTTCTCACTACAGAGAACTAGCTTAAATGGGGGCAAAGTTGCGTAATCAGGAGACCTCTAAAAAAGCAAGGCTAACATGATTAGTTTTCGAAACATTTGAAAAAAAAAAACGAAATTTTGGTTATCCGTTTTTGTTTCAGTTCAGCCTTATGTGAGGTAATATTGAAAAAAGAAGAACACTTTCTCAAGGAAGTTTATGCTCTCTATCGAATGGCATAATCAATTTTTATATGTAACGTTTCGTCTTTCCAGAGCCATCATCAACCTCATTTTTTTAAATAGGGCCCTGGAAATTTTACTATTTTTTTTTGCAAGCCTTCATGACCCCCAGTACTGTACTGCCTCAGCCCGAATTAGATTGAGATGTTTTGTCTCGAAAAATTCATCTTCAATGTATTCGTTCTAAATTTATCTAAATTTTTTATATATGTTTGTATGTTTATTAAACTATCGTATACTCTAAGTATCGTTAGACTCTGAGAAATCTACATAGTTATTTAACTATTACCATCACGCGTTACAATAAAACATTATTAGAGTTTTAATCCCGTGCCCACAGTTATTTGTAGATTTCTCGATTGATAAAAATTAAATTTCACAGGGTCTAACGACACTTACACTGTCGATAAATAATTTAATAAATATAGAAATCTAAATAAAAAGTTTGTAACATCACTTCTTAAAACAAAACTGTACAGGGTGGTTCACTATATTTTGACCCCCCCTTTAACTTTTTTGTTTTTAGTTACAAAAACATGTAAAATGTAAAAGTTACACGATTTTTTATGAAGTTTTCGATAATGTTAGTAGAAAAACAAATGAAGTCCAAACAAAATGACCACGGATGCTAACTTTGTTAATTTAAATTGAACACCCTGTATATTTTTGAATTTCACATTTTTTTATGACTGTAAAAACAAAAAAGTTAATGGGGGGTCAAAATATAGTGAATCACCCTGTACACAACATTATAAGGTACACTTATTAATACAAGTTGATTATTTTACAGACTATACAAAAAAATTGTCAATGAAAGATCAAAATTGTGCGTTCAACGTCTACATATAGCTTGTGATTGTCCTAATTTGGCATCGTACCTTTTTATTATTAACCGTCACTTTTATTATATGCATATTTACGTCTAACGAGGTTATAGTTGTTATTTTTTTGTCATTTCGTTACTAATTGGATGTCTATAAAGTATAACAAGAAAAGGAAATTGTGGGCGTCAACTTATAATGGAAAGTAAACAACTTTCTGGCTTTATTTGTTGAAAAAATTGGCTTCTAAGGTAACACGCCAAGTCTACCGATATCCATATTCCATCTCAAACATCACAAGTATATATTTATATGTTTCAAATAGTTGCATTGAGGCACATATTGAATTGAATTGATATACAGGGTGGTTTGAAAAGGCGTATAATAAACTTTGATGGGAAGTAGTGGAGAAAAATAGGATTTCTTCGTGTCGTTAAAAATGAATTCCTTCAACAGTTAAACCCGCGTAGCTTCGAAAGTAAGTTAAGCCTATGATTTCTTTTGTGAAAACTAATATAGGCGAAACAAATAAATTCCGTAAGAACTTAATATTAGATATGTTTAATCGAGAAATCAGCACTCCAATCCAGTGAATATATCCGATATCAACACTTCCATTGATACATTTACAGCTAAAAATATAGTGCGTAAACACTTTAAATCGGCCATTTATTTTATACCAACCCACATAAAACGTTTTTCGATTATCTAAGAGAATTATTTACTTTCTACCGATGTGCTACGTATCCGAGTATACGATATTTTGGAAAAGTGGGTCATGCGGATTTCGGGTCAATTTAAAATCGCTAATTAAAAAGTGTATTCCTAAGCATTTCGCGTAAACATCGCGAAGTAAAAGGTGGATAAGAAATTTGTCTTACTATGACCAAATGAGATGTATATTTTAAGATATGTTTCAGGGACGTATATAAGGGTAGGCTAAGAGTTAGGGAAAGGTGTAGGCAGAAGAAAACGTTATTCTATCACTTTTACCCTCACATAAAAAAGGTTGTAGCTTTTTAAGAGGGACTGGGGTGATTAAAAAAAATATAAAGTACTTTGTATGAATCTCAACAAGGATTCCACAATGTCACGCATTTTAAAAGTGATATACATATATTCATGTGTTTGGTGGTTTCCGATAATTTCCTGGAATTGCAAATTACTTACAGTATTATCCATACCAATTTCTTTTTGTGAAATTATTAAAGGTATATATTGTGACGATAACCTTCAACATAATGTAGATAAAATCGTATACAATGCACAACGATTCCGTTCAAGGTCGAATTTTCAGTGCAATGCCATGTTGTTAATAAAAATATTGATTGCGGAAATAATTGTGTTTATGTTTAGGAATTTCAAAGAAAGTCTGACAGAATTCCTTTGAACTTATATAGCGTGAAAATACAGACTACTTTAAAAACTGTCGAATAAAATGTAAGTAAAATATACTTGATTTTAAGGAAATTTCCACAAAATATTTGTAACTGCAACAAATACATGTTTTTAATGTTAGAATAAAATATCGAAGCAACTTGAAACCATAGAGTAACTATAATTAGCTTGGAATTAAGGGCCCCATATTCTTTAAATAGTGTTTTCAACAAAGACAAATAATTTCAAACATTTAATAACTGAATAATCTAAAGCTTATCAAATAATAGGAATGTTATGTCATGCCATCTGGGTATTTTCAAAGACGCCGCAGTAAAACGAATAAACAGGTGCAAAAAACGATCAAACCATCAAGGTTTTAGGTACTGAAATCTACGAAAATACTAACTTTTTTATATATAATTCCACATGTAAATATTCTTATAANATTTTCTGATATTTTTTTAAAATTGGCCCTTTTATAATATCACGACAGAAGAGCATTAAATACCAAGATGGGAAAAATGGTTCTTCCTTATTTATATTAAGAAAACAACCGTGTTAAATGTTGCTTCAGATTAGGACAAATTATTATCGCCCTTTCGATCTGGGAGAGCAGTATATCACCTACTTTAAACTTCCGGGACCCACCCGGATGATCCCTTCTATCTGTGAATATCCGACTTAGATAAAGATCCGGGATCATGGAAATTTGTGCACCTGAGTTGGATAAAGATAAGAATATGCTGCTATCAGTTTCACAGTTCATTAGCGGCCTTCAATGATCGTTTTACGCACAAATCCGCGGATCCATAGTCATTATCTCTCGCCGAGTCTACTATAAATTTAATGCTTACTTTTCAATCCCCCCCTGCAATTTCCACTGTTCCGTAAATATGCTTATTGTACTTTTTCATTTTGCCGGTATCGCGAAAATATGCCCCAAAACCCGTAAAGTACTCAAGTAAACACAACAGTGTAAAGCGGAGAGAGATTATTTATCGCATTAGTTTGACGGAAATAAAAAGTTTTGAAACTGAAATAGTTTTTTTACATTATTTTAGTCATTAAGCTAATTCAAATAAATTCTATTTTTTTCCTAGATATCCTCTCAAATAAAGTCAATGCTTCTCGATACCAAAAATCTGGGTATGCTAAACATGTAAGAAATGTAGAAAGATTTCTAACTAGTGATATTTTAATATAGGTACAATACATTTCCAAAAAATAAACATTTTTTTTTATTTGAAAAAGCTGAATATATGTAAAATATGAGTTAACAATAAAATACGCATTTAAAAAGAATTAAATATTTTTTATCCACAATCACCTTATAATCGGACTTTTATCCACACAAATGAACCGTCTAAAGTGATACTTTATCCACTAGTGGAATAAAGCAACTTTATTTCACTAGTAGAATAATTAGTAAAATAAATAAAATAAAACTTTCAATTTATAAACATTCTAGGATACTTTACGAATTTGAGTAAAATTTAAAAACACACCTAAACACTAACATATCTAAAGTAACTGTTGTAGATTAAATAAATTAAAAAAAAACTGTTTTAACAAATTTGCAATTTTCATAAACTGTAGAAAGTCCACCATTAATATGATGTTAGAATGTTGAAAAGCACTTTATTTTATTGTAATACTTAGACATTAATAATCCTATAACTATAATGTTACTTCAAATATCAACTTACTAATTAAAAGTGGCAAGATGCATATCTGTGCCGAAATTATTAATTTTATTATTATAATTAATAATTTTAATTATAGTCGAATAAATCTGCCCGGGCAAAAAATATTTATGTTGCAACATCAACACCGCATTTTACGGAAATGATGTATCGATCCCTAAAAGTAAAGTTTGAGGCGTCCATTTATCTTCCCTGATCGATTTAGCATTAAAAATTTTTCACCGGGCTGCTGCAAACTTTCTTTACACCCAATTTTTGCACTGAAATATCGCTCGGGCCGCGTAATATTTATACAACAGAATTGAGTGGCTGAAATATTTAGAGAGTGAGGTAATAAATTCATTGGTTAGGTATTTCCGAAAGTGGTATACCGATCGACGGTGTTGAGGTTTAAATTTTTCTTGCGGCAATCCATCATTTACGAATGTAGAGAGTACAGAGTGGTACAGCGAAATTGCGTTGGAATAAACATAAAAAACTTTTCTTATATTTCCTTAATTTGTGGCTAATTGTGTAGCTAATTTCATTCCTGTGAGGGATGCTACCTTTTATTTTTGTACAGAACATTTTTCTGCTGTTGATAATTATTATGAAATACAGGGTATTAGAAGTTTGACTGCCTTAAGACGCAGTCTATAGAATATATTAAAATAATCAAAAAAACCTTATATGACATGGGTCCTAAACTCAACCATTTCCGAGAAAAAAATTATTAAAATCTCCAGCTTGATCGAGGTACTCAGCTGTCCAGCCAGCAATACGCAATTCAGTTGGTATCTGGAATTGGACCGTGTCTGAGTGTTTTTGGCCTTTAGCTTGTGTGATCCTATGGACGAGTTGTCCAGATTTTAATCGTACTAGGAAGAGTTTTATGTTCTTTTAAAATGGACAGGACTACTACTAACATGACTCCATTCTATCACTATAAATACTTTTAGTGTAACAATAAACCTTTATATACTAATTGGGTTCATATTGTTCAGTAAGTATGATTGAGGTAACCACTGCTTTGTTGTCTTACCTTCCTATTTCCGCTTCCAGCACATATTCTTCCTTAGGATCGACTCCCCTCCTTATCTGGACGTCTCTATATGGAAAGCTCAACTGGATCTCTGTAAAAAAGAAGAAATAAAATGTACCGGAAGTAAAAGAAAGTTTTAATTAGTTTCATACATTTTTGATAGAGGCTTTAATTAGTTGATACATGCTTCATAGAAACGACCACCTTTTTTCTGAATCAGGAAAGGATCTAGTTATATGCGTCATCACATCAAGCCATTCTTGGTGCTTGGGAAGAGGACAGGCATAGTTCTCGAATTACCGATAAAATTTTGACCATGTTTTTAAACTTTGAGGCCTTGCGTATTAAAATTCAATATTCTTTTGATCGTACTTGATCCCACTAAGTTCTTTCATTGCTAATGAAACACACTTATACAATGTGTCCCCAGATGGGGTACCGCACTCTTATAAACTTTTTTATTGTTGATTTTTCGAGAAAAATTAAACAATTACCTATGGAATAAATCGATGTAAAGATTTTCATATTATCAGCAAATAATAGCTTATTACAGTCAATTACTCGACAAATGTCGTTAATAAAAATTGGAAATAATAAAGGTCCTAGGTTTGAGCCCTGAGGGACTCCTGAAGTTGCAAAGTAATCGGGTGATACAAACCCATTATATGAAACAAATTGGGCTCTATTATTTAAGTATGATTTAAATAGTGATAACGCGTTGCTGCTAAAGCCAAATTCGACTCTTCAAAATAAATTAATTTAAAATAGTCGTTCCTTACTTTTTGGAAGTAAATCTTACAATTAATCAAAATTCGTATTTAAATTCTCAATAATTTTGTTTTGGCAGAATTAGATAGCGAAAATTTAGAGTTTAGGAGAAAACTAATATTTCAACAAGACGGATGCTCTGCATATTCCTCATATCTAGTGAGAAACTGGCTTGACTATGGACCAATACTTTGGCATTCCACGCCAAATCGACCACTTTTAACCCTGACCCCTTTCCATTCGGCTGAAACTTTTTTATTGATTTCTACTTCATTGAAAACCTCTCTTCAAATTTTTTCACCCAACTCAAAAAAAGTTATGAATTTTTGAAAAATGTAGCTTTTTTTTAAATAACCATAACTTTTTCAAAAAGTGAATTATCGGGACGTTTTTTTTCAAAATTTTTGTTTTTGAATGTACTTTTTGAAAAGAAATAGATCAAAATTATCTGGACCTAACTTCAATGTTTTTTTTTCAATTTTTTAAAAAAAACTAATTTCTCAATGATTACCATTTCTGAAATTTTTTTTTCGTTTAAAAAACTGACATTTTTTATAAATCCTCAAATTTTTTCAGTGGTGTTTTCGTTTTCTATTTTTTTTATTGATTGAAAATATTTTTTTCAAATTTAGCTTATTTCACATACCTAACAGCATTTTGAAAATTTTTGAAAATGTATATAGAATCCCAAAATTGAAAAAAAATATATGAAAGAAATGACTGAAAGTTGTATACATGAAAAATATTTAGATTTTTTTTTGAAAACGTTAAAAAAATAATAGATCGTTTTGAATAATTTTTTTGTATTTTTTTTCGAAAACTGTATACAAAAATAAAGAGAATGAAAAAAAAGTTGTTATTTGGTCAATTTTTGGACGAACAGTGGGCTTTTTCAAAATGGTTATGTGAAATAAGCTTAATTTGAAAAAAAAAATTTTTTTCAATCAATAAGAAAAACTAGAAAAGGAAATAACACCACTGAAAAAAAAATTGAGGACTTATAAAAAATGTCAGTTTTTTATAAAAAAAATGTTTTAATCAATAAGAAAAAATAGAAAACGAAAAACACCACTGAAAAAAATTGAGGACTTATAAAAAATGTCAGTTTTTTATAAGAAAAATATTTTTTTTTCAAAAATGGTAATCATCGAGAAATTTTCGTTTTTTTTCGAAAATTGAAAGAAAATCGGTGAAGATAAGTCCAGATAATTTGGATCTATTTTTTTTCAAAAAGTACATTTAAAAACAAAAATTTTGTAAAAATAAACGCCCGATAATCAATTTTTGAAAAAGTTATGGTTATTTAAAAAAAAGGTTTTTTTTTAAATTCATAACTTTAACAATAACAAAGTTTGAGCCAAATCGAAAGGGGTCAGAGTTAAATGTGGTCGATTTGGCGTGGAAATGCCCCATTACAAGTATTAAATTTAAAATAAAAGTTTACTTATTTTTTGCAATTTCTGTCTGCTTTAAGTAAGAAATACAATACGCGCCTAAAGTATGGAATAAATTCAGTAAAAACGAAACAATTTTTTTTTGGGAAAAATCCTCGAACAAGTCGATTCGAAAACTTTCCTATGTAAGATGGCAACATTTCAATACGGTCGGATCGACAATGAAACGATCTTTCAGAATCAAGAAAAAAAATAGGGGGTTGCAATTTAAAAAAATGTCGATGACGTCATTACTCGAAAACAAATGACGGTTGAAAATTGCCTTTTATGTTAAAATATGTATTTTTCAAATTAAAAATCGTCCTGTTTTTTTTTCTTTTCCCAAAAAAAAATTGTTTCGCTTTTATTGAATTTATTCCATACTTTAGGCGCGTACTGTATATTTAGTAGAAATGATTTTGAATAATGTCACCTACAATAGGCACCTATTAAGACAATGTACTAAAGATAATTTAATACTGAGCTATTAGCATCCCTGAACAGGCATATTGAAATATGAATATTACTGTCGTTGTCCGTAGTTGTCAAGACAACTGAACTAAATGTAACTTAACTTTAATCTATTATGTATCCCCGAATATGTTATCCACATCCAGTCGGGTATAACACAACACAATAGAAAGTTAGATCATTGTACGCGTTGTCGTTATACTATATTAGAACTCCCCGTTGCCGGCATCCAGACTCCGACACCGCGCCTTAATTACAACAAGCCTTTTGTTTATTTTGATCCACCGTGCAACGGCGAGTATTTGCTCAACAAATGCCGGAGCCACCACGTGCAGCGGGCGTCGTTTTTTTGGCTGCGATCCTTTAACCGACGAGAAACTTGAACTTGATCTGACAGCGCTCGGAAGGCTTATTTTTACCCGTTAGGTACGGTTTCCAGGTTTATTTAAAATTTTTATTTTTCGCAGCGAGGTGCAGTCTATTCCCGAAATAAACGCCTGTGTTTACCAGAAGTTTCTGCATCTAGGAGAAAAAAAATATATTGCGCATGTGTGTCTAACGTCAGTAAAACGCATAGAATTATAGTTGGGGTATCGCGAATTAAATGGAAGTAAATACCGTTGAATGCAAAGCACGTCTAAATTCATAACAGTCCTACAGAGTGGGCTAATTTCGATGCTTTCGGACTCTACTTGTTTGTTTTACGAGGGTTCTATAGCGAATAGGCAATTAGCAATACATTTTTATAGATTTTACTACACTGTTTGTCTAAATATGAATTAATGCGTAAATAACAGACTTTCTCCCATTTTAACGCAGATTTTTTATAAAAATGAGTTAATTTGAAACTCAAATAACTTTTTGGTTTAAAAAATTTGTAATTTACGATATCGCTTGTTCAAAAGCGGCAAATTACCAATTTCTTTACAACAAAAAGTGATTTGAGTTTCAAACTAACTCCATTTTATAGAAAATTTGCGTTGGTATTGAGGAAAGTCTGTTATTTGTGCATTAATTTCTACTTATACAAACTGTGTAATAAAATCTATAAAAATGTATTGCTGGTTGCCTATTTGCTAGATTAGAGACAAGAAAGAAGGAAAATAATACACAATTAAATATATGTGCTATACATAAAAATGATTTAAATAAAACTACGGAAAAACGTTTTTCGAAGCTTTCTCTAAAGAATATTCTGACACAAAAATATCAACAGCGACATCAAGAAATGTGGGTAATTATCTAAGAAAGTTTTGGTAGTAAATAACAACTTTGCAACCATCATGAATATTCCGATACTTGCCGGTTAATACAAGCCCAATTAGTTTATCTTACAACTTGCAGCATAAATCTTCATTGTGCGTGTGGTGACACCTTTACAAATATAGGTCACTTCTTGGCTCAGTTTCAAATCAGTGATTTTGGTATTTTGCAATTTATCATTGGGATTTTACAAGTTAATTAAAGTTTATTTGACCGCACAATCCGTGAAGTCATCTTTTGTGTAAGAAAACGAACTCGACATTTTTTTAATGATACTGATTCTGCTGAGTGTATTTGAAACACCTATTTTTCTTTGAATCAAAATAAGTATCATTTAGTTGTGTCCCAAGGAATACTGAGCTTTAATATTTTTGCGTTATTTCTAAATTAAAATATTTTCTTACTGTTTAATTAATATTGATCAAATCTGCTTTAAGTTAATACTACAGTTACTGGGACGTGTTTTCAAACCATGTAGAGTCTGATTTATTTATTTATTTCATTTCGTTGCTTACAAACCACGTATTTAAGGAATTCGCGGAGATAAACGTAAATTATCCCGAATTTAAACGTTCGAGCGCTTTGGCAACCAGCGATGTCAGTGGAATCCTTATGGGCAGCATACTCATTATAAATAACGCTATATGTAAGACGTAACATTTACTACATGGCTTTTAACATAAAATCGACTAGGATAAACAAATTTATCAGTCGAAATATCCGGACAACGTATCTATGAAATATTCGAATACTCGGAGCGAAGTTACGCCGCACGTATTTCTTTCACTTTGACTTTCGATTTCGCATTCTACACCAAACCACTTTTGGCAGCGCTTTAAATGTATCGCATATATAAAAATGTCGTCGGAATCAATTATTGGGAGGAAATTAAGTTTTATTTAAAGTTGTGTGAAACCCTATCTCGAAAGAGAAGATTGAGATGTAGATAAATCGTCTGCGATAATTTTGTGTGGTTTCCCAAGAATATACGGAATAAATAATTTTTTTAGGTTACAAATAATTTCCTTTTAATACATTTCTAGAGTCCTACTACAGTAAGGAACGGAATTTTCCGTGGAACTTCAATATTAAAGAATGAGCTTTATGCGGACGCCAAAGTAAACCCACCTGAAATTAATCTTCAACAATATTAATC